TTAACTGAAAGCAACTTACAGAAGTGTTCCTGTCTTTAACACTCAGATGCCCAACTCCCAATGGGGTCTAAACCCCAAATAAATCCGTTTTACTCTGTATAAAGCTTATACAGGGTAAACTCATAAATTGTTCGCCCTCTATAACACTGATAGAGAAATATGCACACCTGTTTTCCACCACCCCCCAGCTATTAATACATACTCTGGGTTAATTAATAAGGAAAAAGTGATTTTATTATTTAAGTGGTTCCAAGTAGTAACAGACAGAACAAAGTGAATTACCAAGTAAAATAAAATAAAACACACAAATCTAAGTCTAATACGGTTATAATTCAATACAGATAAAATCTCACCCTCAGAGATGTTTCAATAAGTTTCTTTCTCAGACTGGATGCCTTCCTAGTCTGGGCACAATCCTTTCCCCTGGTACAGCCCTTGTTCCAGCTCAGGTGGTAACTAGGGGATTTCTCATGATGGCTGCCCCTTTGTTCTATTCCACCCACTTATATATCTTTTGCATAAGGTGGGAATCCTTTGTCCCTCTGGGTTCCCACCCATCCTTCTCAATGGAAAAACACCAGGTTAAGGATGGATTCCAGTTCAGGTGACATGATCACATGTTACTGTAAGACCCCAAGCCTTCATTCCTCCCTGCCTGACTCACAGGAAGGTTTGCCTGCAAACAGAGCCATCCACAGTCAATTGTCCTGGTTAATGGGAGCCATCAAGGTTCCAAACCACCATTAATGGCTCACATGTTGCATAATTACAATAGGCCCTCAGCATCATATTTTATATTTCTAGTTTCAGATACAAGAGTGATACATTTATACAAATAGGATGACCACACTCAGTAGATTATAAGCTTTGTAATGATACCTTTCAAGAGACCTTTTGCATGAAGCATATTCCACTTACATTATATTCATACTTATTGGCATATTTTCATAAAATCATATAGAGTGCAACGTCACACATACCCTAAGCTGTGACCTTCGTATCCATCCATGCAGTTAAAAACTCTCTTCCAAACTTTCATCCATGCTGCCCCTTGAGAGGAACTCCCCCAAAACATCCGCAAAATTACCTCATCCTCCTTCAAATCCCTCTTTTAAAACTCTGCTTTTCTCTAATGCCTGCAAAAAAATTGACAATGGATAAGCGACTGGTATGCTGACTCATAGACTTTAAGGCCAGATGGGACCATCTTGATCATCTAGTCTGACCTCCTGCACATTGCAGGCCACAGAATCTCACCCACCCACTCCTCTAATAGACCCATAACCTCTGGCTGAGTCACTGCTGTCTTCCTCAAATCATGATTTAAAGACTTCCAATTACAGAGAATTCACTGTTTACACTAGTTTAAACCTGCAAGAGACCCAGGCCCCATGCTGCAAAGGAAGGCAAACCCCTCCCTCCTCCCCAGTCTCTGCCAAACTGACCCCGGGGGAAATTCCTTTCCGACCCCAAATATTGCGATCAGTTAGACGCTGAGCATGTGGGCAAGACCCACCAGGCAGATACCTGAGAAAGAATTCTCTGTAGTAACTCGGAGCCCTCCCTTATTTTGTCTTATTGTTTCTTTGCACTCCCCTATCTATTCATCTGTATCCATATGTTTCTTATCTTAGATAGTAAACTCTCTGGGGCAGGGACTGTCTGTTGGTTCAGTGCTTGTACAGCACCTAACACAATGGGTTTTGCTCCATTAGTAGGGCTCCTAGGTGTTATGGTAATACAAATAATAACTGTTTAGTGGCAGAGAAAACCCTGGTGTACTTAGCCAGCGTCTCTGAACTACATTTCAATGCATTCAGTTGATCTATAACCTCTCCATGCTGTCGCACGGTTGAGTAACGTGGACATTGTGCCGCTCAGACAGGGCAAAGCTGGAGGCTTTCCACACAAAATGCCAACGTCGTCTATTGGGCATAAAGTGGAATGACGTCATTTGTAAAGCAGATGTTTACAGTGGCTCTGGTCTACAGACTACTGGGGCTATTGTCTGCCGACGGCATCTTACACTTTTCGGACTTGTTGCAAGAATGCCACAAGACGTTCTGGCAAACATCATTCTGTGGGTGGCTTGTAACATCTGGGATAAAATTCCACCAATCGAGTCGTGGAGGCGGCTCAGAGGCAGACCCCCAACACATGGGTGTGTCAAATCGGTTCTGATGTTGGACTCTTGACCGCTCAAGCCCTTGTGGCTGCACAGGAACGGACCAAATGGCGAACGATCGCTATGGCCGACTGTTCGGCTAAGCGCTGAAGAAGAACCAGGTGATCTGTATTTAAAGAAGTGATTGAGAGCTAGCTAGTCCTGAAGCTCTTACTCATTACTTATTCAGACAAAACCCAACTGATTTCAATCGAAAGTACTGCTCACAGTGTCAGAGTACTGTGTAAATGCCAGCTACCTGGTATTCATAAAGCAATCAAAACCTATACTAAAAGAACACTATTAAGTATGTAAAGTGAAGTATGTGATCATGTAATTAAAGACTGTATCATAATGCATATGAACAAAGGGGCCAAATCAAGGTTGAACAGACAACCTTAATTCTGGCATTTCCTAACTTTTGATTGCTTGATTTTGCAAGCTCAATCATGTTCTCTTCATGTCATTTTTGTGTGTAATACAAATATTGTTTTGTCTTTTTCTTCTATCTACTGCCCCTTTAAATCTCTAAGGACTCGGCTGTGGGCAGAGGAAGGCAGACATTCTGTATTCATTTCAGTGCAAACTTTGCTCCCACATTTTGATTCAAATTCACACTGACTTCAATGTGGATGTCACAAAAGGTAGAATAGAGGAGACTGAATAACCTCCAGGATTAAGAGATCCTAAGTACTTCCCTTACAGACATCATAAATGAAAGAACTCTCTAGAATCTACTTAATCAAAGATGTTTTTTTAATTTTTCTTTAAAAAACACACTGACCTTTGAAATACAGTTCAACGTTGGAACCCTGAACAATGCAGTCACAAAGGATGGGGCTTCACAAAGCTACTTAATTTCCTAACACCCAGTAAATCAATATAGTTGTGAATCTCACCCAGAAATACCTGCAAGCATCTAAATGAACTGCACTAGATCAGACCTATATTTCTGGAGGTTTGTCGCTCTCGTCCTCCCACACCCTAATTCAAACACACAAAACTAGTGCTGCCACATTCACTCAACACAAATACATATCAACCGATCAGCATTGCTTTCCAGTCATCTGACTCGTCATTCAGAGAAAGGAGGGGCAGGACTGAAGCGCTTACTATGATCAGACACGGGAAAGGGAAACAGTGGTAGCATGGTGAAAAGGTGTTTCGGCATTTCTCCCATCAGCATTCTTCCGGAGAAAACATTTTCACATCCTGATCCACTCCCATTCCCCAAAAGAAAATAGGAACCAGAATATGCACCTATAATGTTGTTTTGTGCTTGATCATAGAATAAGGGCTTGTCCACATGGAGAAATTTACCAGCAGACTTATAGTGCTATAATTATATCTCTACAACTTCCCCGTGGAAATTCTTAATCCAACAGAAGAGTGTCCAGATGGGGAGTTATAGTGGTATAATTATACTGGCATCATTATGCTGGTAAATTCCCCCATGTAGACAAGCTGCAAGAATCCCTTTCCAAAAGGTCAGATTCAGAGAGTCTGAAATCTCTCCTGCCCACAGTTCTAAACTGAAGCAGCTAATAGGAAAGATTCTTTGTTAAATCAATAGGCGTTCTGTGTTCAAAATGTGTTCCTTTTATCTTTGAAATCCTCTGCAACTGAAATGAACTCCACCCCAAATCAATTTCCCTAAAGCACATCTTTCCCTGAAGAAGCGCTCTGTGTAAACTGGAAAGGCTGTCTTTTTCACCAACAGAAGTTGCGCTGATAAAAGATATTACCTCACCCATCTTGTCTCTATCGTTCCTTCTTGGCAGAAAGCGTCATTGTTTTGGGGGTTTTTTTTTAGATAAGATTTCCATCCAGTTTAATAGTATAGTGATAATGTATTAATATTACAGGTAAGACCCACTATATGTTAGCTACAGAACAAAAATAAAAGAACACATGGTCCTTGTCTCAAAGAATTTACAATCCCCACCCAGACAAGTGGCCCCTCGCTGTAATCCGAGCCTACATTTTGACTGTTGTGAAGTGATGCCAGATCTGAGGTTTTGTGGAGCTGTTGCATGGGACTGCATCAGGGTGGGAATTTTTAAGGCTCGGTAGGAGCGGCAAAACTTGTTCTCTATTGAGGCAGTGAAAATGTGGCACTTCCGTGGTGGGTTGCCTTGGAGGTCCAGATGTTTTTGGTACAATGGGAGCAGCCAAACCTATTCTCTGGTTAGGCGTTGGAATTTGAGGGGTTGGGACCAAAACCTAGCTGGATCCAACAGGACTGAGGTGCCAGATCCAGATTTTGCAGGGTTGCTACACCGAGATCTGGGCATTTCCACCCCTACAGCTCCCATCCTCCCTCCCCCGGGGTGTGTTTACCAGCTGTGGGTGCCCCCTTTTTAACACTCTTCTGCTCCAAGAAACTGTGATCTTTTCCCTCCCTGGATGGACTCTTGTCCCTGGGTGGAGGTGTCTCTTCCGCTCTTCTCCGCCTGGCAGGAGAATGGATTTTCTCCTCTCCATCTTCTCCCTCCTTGGGGGCATGGCAGCAGGGAGACAGAGATTCCTGACCTATGGTGCTTTCCCCACCCATCTTCTCTCACCGAGAAACAGGATCCCAGGGGACTATGTCTCCCCTAGTCACTGTCTTTCCAGGGATTCCCTGCACATCTCTCCCCACTTCCTCCGCCCAGGGGATAGCTCCTTCCCTCTCCCTGGCCCAGGGAATGGATCCCTGGGCATGCACTACCCTTCCTCCACCCCTGCCCACCAGGAGATGATGTCGGGGACCTGGGAGGGGGGGGGTCGCTCTCTTTCCACATACGCCGCCCATGAGTAGCAGGCTTGGGGGGAGGACTGAGGACCAGGGACAGGCGCCTGCAGGGGAGGGCGAATGCTCCAGGCAGGGGGCTGGCGGTGCCTGGAACACGGGGGCCACCCAGCTTCCACAACGCCTCTCCCGCGGCAGCGAGGGCGCCTGGTTGGCCCCCAGGAGCTGGTCTGGGGCTTTCTCGCTAGTGCCTGGCCAAGCTCGGTCTGCGCCCCCCCGCCCAGCCTGAGAATTACCTAGTGGTCCAGCGAGGAGAGGCGGAGCCTCCGCCGCCGCCGAAGCCCCCTCTGCTTCCTCAGAAAGCTGCTCCGCGGAGTTTGGCGGCTGTGGGCTGGAGGGGGGACCCGGGGCTAGGAAGGCGGGGGGTCTAGCTTCTCCCGCCGGGCTCGCTGTCCCCTGTGCACCGGGGAGGAGGCGAGCCCCTCCCCAGGAAGACTTGGGGCATTGTCCCCCCCAGGCCCGGGCTGGGTGGATGGCAGGCGGGGGAAGCCGCAGCGGGCGGGCGGTGCTGGTGGGGGGAAGGCAGCGCCTTGCCTCGGTCCATTGCTGCCCCCTGAGCCGGCGCGGGGGGCTATGAAGCACCATGGTGTGGTGTGACCGTGGGGTCCAGATGCTGCTGACCACGGTGGGAGCCTTCGCCGCCTTCAGCCTCATGGCCATCGCCATCGGCACCGACTACTGGCTCTACTCCAGCGCCCACATCTGCAACGGGACCAACCTCAGCATGGAGGAGCCGCAGAGCCAGCCCCGCAAGGCGAAGGGGGACCTCACGCACTCCGGGCTCTGGCGGATCTGCTGCCTGGAAGGTACGGCCCGGGCTGGGGCTGCGGGCTGGGGGCAGGGGGTGGGGCTGGGTGGGAGCGCAGGGAAGGAAGCAAAGATGCAGGAAAGTAACTTCCCGGCCCAGGCTGGCTGCACAGACCAGGCTGGGTCCCTAGCTGGGCTCTGCCCCGGCCAGCCAGACCCTAGACGTAGCCGGACTCTCCGCCTCGGGCTAGGAGGAGGAGGAGGTTGTTGCCTAGGTAACCGGTCTCTCGGCGATTGCTATGGGAACCCGACCTCGGATGGGGATGCCTTGCCCGGGGTAGCTGCCCGCTCCGAGCCCCGCGCTCCTGGGCGCACACAGGCTGGTGCCGCTGAGAGAAGGGCAAGCACGGCTGGGCGCCTGGCTGGTGTGGTGGGACCCGCCCTTTCATCTGGGGGAGTCATGGGGGGGGGGTCCTAGTTTCTCTCCGGACTGACCCTGCGGACCATTACTGAAGCCCCTGCAGTGTGCGCTCCGCAAACGCCCAGAGACCGGGAACCGGCCCCGAGGGGCTGCACCGCTAAACAATGGGATCTGAATCAGACTAACAAGA